GACTTTTTATGTTCTACACCTGCCATTTTCAGCCTATTTTGGAATTTATTATTTATAAATTCTGTACCATTATCAGTTACAAGAGTTACTAGTTTCCTTTTAGATTTTCTTTCTGCAAACTTCAACCAATTAAAGAAATCCTGATATGTTTCCGTTTTACTTTTCATTAAATAACAGAAACCATATCTAGAATAATGATCCATTATACTTAATATATAACGAGCATCTCCCACACTTAGTTTTTTAGGACCTATAATATCAGCAAATACGACCTCTAGAGGCTCCTTAGTTTTAAATCCATTAATTCTATTTGCTGGTATTACCTTGCTTTTTTCTTGACTGCAAGCATTGCAGTGCAAATACTTACTGCAAGGCTTCAGTTTTATACCTTTAGACAGTTCAACCATTTGCTTGAGCATTTTAAAATTTATATGCCCTAAACGTCTGTGTAACAAATGTATGCATTCATCATGAGGTTTAACGTTATTGTGCACTGTGTTAGCCACCTCTAATAGATTATCATTTAACACATACAATTCACCTTTTAAAGTTGCAGTCACTTTTTTACCTTCCTTTTCTATTGTGCAGTTTTCTCCCCTAAAGGTAACCACATAACCTAGTTTAATCAAAACTCTAACCAAAAGCAAATTAAACTTAAGTTGTGGTATATATAACATTTTTACATTTTCTTGTATGCAAGAACAATGTGCAGTACCTTCAGCTTTTGCTTTAAGTTTCCAGCCATTAGCTAACGATATCTGCTGTGAACTCGTGGACATCTTAATAAATTTTTTCTTATCTTTCGTTATGCAGTGCGATGCTCCACTATCTACAACCCAAAAATTATTATTGTTCACAGTTTCGTTGCTATACATGGCTAACTCTAAGCATTTTTTATCCTTTTGATGCCTTTGTGCATTCTGGCTGGCATTGTGGTGTTTTGCTTTCTTGCAGAATCTGGCCAAATGTCCTTTTCTTCCACAATTGAAGTATTTTCTAATTGTGTAGGCTGACGAAGATAATTTCTCTTCTTGTGGTTGTTCCCTTCTGAGTTGATCCCTTTCAAGCCTTCTCCTGGCTTCTTCAATTAATCTGCCAGTAATGTCAGTTAATGTGAGGTTATCTTTTGGCAGCACTTCCAACGAAGTTACATAGTCGTCATAGCTCTCATCTAATGAAGACAAAATTATATAAACCTGGTGTAGTTCAGTGAAGATAAGTTCTTTTTCATGCAGCTCCTGAAAAATCCTCTTCATAGTGTTTATATGAGTCAACATGTCTCCATTCTTTTGAAGATGTGTTCTGAACAGCTTCCGTGTAAGATTTATATGTGCTCCTACACTATCTCAAACATAAATCTTCCTTAAATTCTCCCAACACTTAGCAGCTGTTTCTTCTCCACGAATATGGACAAGCTGCTGGTCACAGAGAGTCAGTCCTATTATACAGAGAGCTTGCTCATTCTTCAGTTTATATTCTTGTATTTTCTGGGCATCATCTTCATTCTCCGGATCCCAAGCATCTACCTCTGGTGGGTTTTGAATTATACCCCACAAACCTTCTCTACGTAGAAGTAGGCTGCATTTCATGGACCATGAAACATAGTTTGTTCCATCCAGTTTGGATATTAGAGACAAACTTGGTAAATTGACTTGTGCCATCTTTCTCTGGATATTAAACTATAATTAATAAAACACAGCTGTCTGTTTACAGTATTGTGTAACTACACTAACTCTCACTTTATATCCTGGTTAGTCTGACTGTGCAGCTGGGCCCATAATCAGTGTTAGGAATACAGCCTAGTAGAATCTGCACGGCAGTCAGGCAGGCAGGCAAAATATGTGAGATAAACATTTTTGTAGCTTACGCTCAGTAAAACAGATACACCGTGCTAGTTAAATAGTTTATTCCAGTAAGAGTTTTAGCATAGTCAAACAGTCCATATATCATTCACTAATTCAGTCTGTCTGGGGATTATTCAGTTGCAAATTCCAGTGTTGAAAAAGAGAGGTCAGTAAACTTACAAATATCAGTCCAGTAATATATCTTCTCGCAGTAGAGATATGAAGAAGTCACACCTCCTTTCTTCCTTCAGCAACTCAGCAGTAGGGAAACACACAGTTAACAAACCATCAATCCATCAAACCAGTCAATCGTCAGCAATCGTCAGGTTCTCTTGCTCCCTCTTATGGAGGTTTCACACTGCACCCAAAATTACATGCTTTGCAGTTTAAAGTGACACACACTTAAACTTACAATCATAGTTTATATATATTATTTTACCCAAACTACATAAGGTAACCTATGTTATTCCTAACAAGAATAGCAGAAAAAAAGTGGATCCCACATTTAAGGGGAAAGAGTAATAAGTGGAAGGAGGAGGAAGTATTGTCTGATATGATTATTCAAAATTTGGGAAAGCCAAAACCAATTCTGTAAATTACAACTGCACATTTTTCAAACATATTGGAATTGAAGTCCATATCTGCCCGTCTTTCAGTCTCTTTCTTTTGTGAATAAAAGGCAATCTGCACAAAATATATTGTCATGCCCCAATATATCATCTTTATATACTGTTGCTGCTCTCTAGCCCCATCTAGTGGCCAAAGGGACACTAGAAGCTGACCCAAGCTGTTTACCCATCAGCCTGAACTCTCAAAAAAAAGTGCACACTGGGAAGCTAGACTCTATTTTCCTTTAGCATTTGGAGGAGGCAGAAGTACAAAGAAGAATCCAATTTAATCTGTGTCATCAAAGGACAAATCCACATCCCACACACAAAGCATTGCTGGTGAGATTTAGATCACTTGTATTTATTAATTGTTATGTTCAGCAGTAACTCAATACTGCCTGTCTTGTATTTGGTTCTCATAGTATATATTCCTATTTTCCCCAGTTTCACCATGTCCTTTCAATAAAGCATCCAGATCTACACACATGGTCTGTTTTATTGGAGGATAGGTGGGTTTAGCTGCATATCCAGATGCACACAGATTAACATGTAGTGAGGACAGAACATATATATTATGCTGGTATTAAATTCATTCTGAGAGTATTTACCATATTCCAAGGGGATAAGATTTAAAAACCTCCATCTATCAATGTCCAAAGAAACATCTTTATATAACCTATTAGTTTTGAGTGCAGTTATTTGAGAAATATTATGTGGAAAAAGAAGTTGTTAATAAATAATTATTATTTAATGTATTTATTAACAAACATTTGCCTATTGAAATCATTTCCTATTTTGATTAATTAATAGAATATCCTACAATTCCTGTAAACACATTAATCCAGAGAGTGGATGAGGGTGGCTTCAAGCAGAAGATCCAGTAACAAAACATCTAATTGAGTGTCTTTTGCAGGCCTTATTTTTAAAACTTCTAATTTGAATTTTTTTTTCTTGCTTTAAGCTTACAGAAACCATGTTATACAAAAAAATCAAAGGATTGTAGATCCTAATGCTACTCCTGGAGAATATGTGTCCCTAGATGAGAGATACTCAAAGCTAATCATCCTAGATTTTCAATACTCTCAAAAGCAAAGAGAAGATGAAATTCTGGCAATAGGAATGAAACATACTGAAATCATCAGCCAGAGAGATAAGTCTTTAATCACCATTGGAACATTATTTAACCAGGATAAATATGGATTCATTCCAGAAACTGTTGTGTTGCAAGGAGCTGCAGGAATTGGAAAAACCATAATGGCCAAAAAAATCATGTTGGATTGGGCTTCTAAAAAAATTTACAATGATCAATTTTTTTATGCTTTTTATATTTCTTGTAGAGAGATAAATCTCCATGCAGAGTCAGAAAAGAGTAGCATTGCAGAGATAATTTCAAAACAATGGCCCGGGTATCATGCAGATGTCATTCAAAACATACTGAAGTATGAAAAACATATTCTATTCATAATTGATGGTTTTGATGAATTAAGTTATTCTTTTGATCAGCCCGAAGATTCCTGGTGTTCTGATCCCTGGCAGGAGGAACCAATAAGAATTATTTTGAAAAGTTTATTCAGAAAAATGCTTCTTCCTGAATCCTCTCTTATAATCACAACAAGACCTACTGCTTTGGAGAAACTCCATCGATTTTTAGAATATCCACGCTTTTTTCAGATATTGGGGTTTTCTAGAAAGGGAAGGGAAGAATATTTCTACAAATTTTTTGGAGACGAAAGTAAAGACCAAGCAACTCAAGCTTTCAGATTTGTGAAACAAAATGATACACTTTTCACCATGTGTACCATTCCCCTTGTGAGCTGGATCATCTGCACAGTGATAAAACAAGAGATGGAGAGAGGTAAGGATCTTCAGAAGACACCATGCACTCTTACTGCAATATATATGCTGTATCTCTCCAGTTTGTTAAAGTTTCACCATAAAGAATCCAAAGAGAATGTCCAAAGAAAGTTGAAAAGCTTCTGCTCTTTGGCTGCAGAAAGCATTGGGAAACAGCAAATACTGTTTATGGAAGAAGAAGTCAAGAAGCACAGTTTGGATCAGGAACAATCCCTCTCCCTCTTTCTGAATGAGAACCTCTTCAAAAAGGACATTGATTGTATTCAAACCTATAGCTTCATTCACTTGAGCTTTCAGGAATTTTTTGCTGCTTTGTTTTATGTTCTAAAAGATAGAAAGAAGTGGCATTCTCAAAACCCAAATAGAAATTTGCAGACATTTTTACAAAAGCATAAAATATATTTTGAGTCTGTTTTTGCAGTAGGATTTCGCTTCCTCTTTGGTTTTCTAAATGAAGAAAATAGAATGAAATACTTGAAAGAAGATTTTAGATGTCAAATTTCTGAAGAGAGTAAAGACTTATTACTAGAGTGGGCAAAATATAATATTAACAGAAAAATTTATATGATCGACCTAAATTGGATCACGCAAGATAATCCTATACTGTATTTATATAACTCCTTTAATAAAAGAATTTGTTTCTATTTGGAAAAAGAAATACTTAGTTTTTTATATGAGACACAAGACGAGAATTTTGTAAGAAAAGCCCTATCTGCTATCACCGAAATAAATTATCAATGCAACTCAGATATGGAATTGATGATTCTGGCCTATTGTTTACAACATTGCCAGAATTTGGAGTATCTCTGTATTCAAAGCCCTACATCTCTATATCATGCAGATAATGAATTATTTCTTCCAAAAAATGAGTAAGTATTTTTGAAAATTTATAACATTTGGGCATTTATTTCAATTTATAATAATTCCACTGCTGTTCTCAGACCTCCTCTCCAAAATATAAATATGGGTCAAAAATGCCTCTTTGGAATATGAATAAATAACTTTCAATAGCTAGATTAGGGATGTGTCTCAATCGTTATATATCCTTTTAAAACAATATATTATACTCTCTGTCAAAATGTGATCCCTTGTTATTTTTATTGGGCTTCATCTGGTCTGGCTCATTGGCCCGGAAGCTCTCACAAGTGCCTGATTCCCTGCTTGCTTTTCTGGCTAATAATCTGTTTGTTCACTCCTTTAACCCTGAGCATTGATAAAATTATAACAGTGTGAAGGAAACAAGCATGGATCCATTACTTGTGGGTGGACAACACCTGATTAGACCTTTTCTACTAGCCCTCATCTATTCACTACTCTTTGTAATTGACATGATGGACTAATAAAAGGGAAAAAAACACCAGTTTTTCCATTTTTCTTGTCACCTCCTGTAGAAGAAATGGATATGTGTCATAGGTGAAGTTGATATCTTGTCAACTTCACTTTCTTTAAAAAGGCAGTTCCCCCTTTACATGTTCCACTAGTGACCTGTTTTTAAAATAAATGTCCAGTCTTTTCAGTGATTTTGTACGATAACCCTCCACTGACCAAAGTTATTGCATGTGAGGCAATAACCAGAAACCAGAGGGGAGAAGGCCACGGTTCCTAATAGCCAATTGGAGCAGAGACATTTTCTGAAAATTAAATGAAACTCAGGCAGCAATCTAGACAGTCCCAAATGTTTATAATTATAGGCAATAATTATTCGTTGGATATGAATGAAGAGAAATATGTATGAAGAGGAATATGCATGGTATGCACACATGCATGGGTAGACAACCTGTGCAAACTACTTCTCACATCCATGTCCTGTTACTTGGGACTCCTTAAAATTTCTCACATTTTTGTGTGTCTTGGATGCCATTTTAGTCTTAATTTCTTAATTCCTGCATATAGAGCTCCATAATAATTTCATTTACAATATGGTCTTTTTGTACTACTATTTTTCCAATTCTGCACAAGAGTACATTCACGTCTGGCTAATTTACCAAAGAACTACAGGCCATTGGATGAAGGATATATGAAACATTTCTTTAAATCACTGACAAAGCTGAGAAACCTAAAAGTCCTGAGGTAAGAAACTGCTTGCATTTTATCACAGATGTTATTGATAAAGAAACCAATACATACTTTAGCACCCGGATTTATAATTCAAGATTATGAGTAGCCAAGGCAATCCCATCCAAGGCATAGGTTAGATCATGTGGAGACCCCCAAGAATGAAATCTTGTTGCCTCCGTATGATGTAGTCAGGACTAGAATTGTCTTGTACCCCATTCAAATTTACCCCTGTTTTCACCACTGCCTCTTGACTGATTCACTTAAGGAATCTTTTGTCCTCTGTAGCCTATATTTCAGAATCTTTCAGATTGGCAATTTTTTTCACACCATAAAATTAGGGTATTATCCTTCTATAAGAAACATGAGATCTAGAGTTGCTGAAAGGGAACAGCTTCATTTTTCATACATGACCTAAAGGGTATTGTGTATTTGGAGCTATAGCTGGCCTCATTTCAACCATACTCCAATCATTTGTCTTCTCCCAAGCATAGTGTTCCCACCTTGTTACTGTTATGGGAATGGAAATCAGGATATTAGCATGCACCTGGTTTATGCATTTATCTCTATACACAGGCTGATATAAGATTAATGCCTTGTGGATTAATCTTATATAAGATTAATTAGATTAGTTAATTGGATTAGAGACAACAGTTTTCTAACCCACCCTCACTATCATTAGTTTCCACTGTTGTAGGTATTTGAATTCAGTTTCTACTCTATGAGTTGAGAATGATTTACAGGCCAGAGACATATTGTCAGATGTGTCCCAATCCGATTCCTCAGGAAAGAAAAACCCTCAACTAAAGTGAAGTGATAGTTCTTTTACTAAAAGATGCTGGCTTCAGTAAGTTCAGGTGAGAACTAAGGTTCCCATGCAAAAATATTTCTCTCATCCCAGCCCTCCCCCGCATGACCAGTCTGCCTCCAGCCAATGAAGATTCACCTAGGTGTTTTCAGAACACTGAGATATTTGGGTTAAGCCAAATCCTTTCTCAGGCTGTATGACCTTGAGTGCTGGCACAAACACACTGAGCTCCACTATTCTTCATCAAGCTGTCATTCCCTCCTCCCACTTTCCCCTCATGTACACCTGCTCCTTTGTGGCCCTTCGATTGACTTTCCTTCCCCCCTTGGTCCTTTGACATTTCTGTAACTAATGGCCTGGATGGTCTAATCTAGCTTGTGGCCTTGGGCATCTGACTCTGTAATCTGCCATGTTTGATATCAAAGTTGCTATAGATCTGCTGGTCATGTTATCTGATGAGGAGGACGAGGAAGGAGTAGAGTTAAAGGCTCTAGAGACAATAGTCTTGGCTATAATAATTTTAATTGCAGAGTCAATGAGTATACTCTGGTTGAGTCAGTTCCAGTAAGCCCCCAGGATGCCTTCACTTCACCAGTGACAGTCTCAAAGAGAGCAGAACCTGGTAGATCTGAGAAATTTGACAAGAACAAAGGCAACCTGCCAATGCCAAGAAGAAAACTGCCATAGTTGCATATTGAGTGGAACATCAGTATAGTTGATTTATTGGCCTCACTCCCTGAGAGCAAATTCTGAGAACAACTTTTTAAGCCTCAGATCTCTCAAGCTTCCCATCATTAGGTCTCTTATCTTTTCTCCTTGCATCTCTTACTTGTGATTAGATTCCCTATCTCGACTTGTGCCAAGTTGTAGCAATCTTGATAATTGCTCTTGTATCATATTGGAGAAAAACATATTTTTCAAAATTCTGTCTGAACTTGCATGTCACGGGATTGTGGAAGGCATCCTGTTTGTTGTCTTGTTGGTTGCCAAGGGCTATATATAAACCACATATTTCTTCAATAGATAGAGATAGATAGATAGATAGATAGATAGATAGATAGATAGATAGATAGA